TGGGTGGGAAACCGTTTCCACGACTTCTCGTTAGTCCTTTTTCCATCCTCTTTCCATTTTTAAAACTAGTTTCTCCAGAATCTACCTAGATTTTGCTAGATCTAAAAGTCAAACCCACGGTTTCCTACCCATTTTCGCCGCTCTCGACCGCCCAAATAGTCCCACCTTTTAAATGTTTTTCTCCTTCACGTGACCTTCCCCCACACCGATTTTGAGCTCCCAAATCTCCTTAAAACACCATAAGTCCGAACCTTAAGAGGAAGGAAGTCTCATTTTTATCTCTATTTTTTTCTTATTTTTCTTTGTTTTGTTCTGTGTATTCTTCTGATGTTCTCCGAAAGGGGATGAGGACTTTTTTTTTTTGTGTTTGGATGGGTCTCGGGCAGATGGGTTAATGGGTAATGGTGGTGGCGGGTTTCGGTTCTTGGAAGGGCTAGGATTTTTCATGGTTGGGGTTAGAGGCTGGGATGGTGCCATTTTTGGGTGATTTTGGTGCAAAAGGTTGTAAGGGATGGGGAACGGGAGCTGTTCTCGGTGCGGTTGGGGTGGTTCAGAGGTGGTTTCGACTCAATTCAGTAAGGTGGAGGGAGATTGGGTTATGGAGGGATTCATGGTGGCTTGTGGAGGCAGAGTTGGTAGGCTGTCGATGGTGGCTTGGGTGTTGCGTTTTTGTTGTTGTGGAAGGCTTGGCTATTCTGTGGGGCAGAGTAGGAGCTTCGGCTTCTTTTGCGTTGTGTTTTTCTTCGTGTGTCCCTCCTTTTTGGCTTGTGAAATCTCTGTTTTGTAGAACCCCGAATGGAACTCTTTGACTTTGTTTGTAGCTAGACTTTGGAGTTTTGCTGCAGCAGTAGTGGCTGCATTTGGGGTCTTGCAATGCTGCATTTCCTGGAAGGAAAAGTGAGAAGTTTTGATCAAATCTTGTTGAAGGTAAATGGAAAAAAGATGAGGAAAAAACAGTCCATAGCTAGAGGTGGAAATGCGTAGTGCTGGACTTGGCCTGAAGAGAAAGCGAGGGTGAAAACTCTGGCAAATTTTAAAAAAAAAAAATTGTAATTTTTCAATTCATAATTTGAGCTGTAAAATTAAAATTTGGACTTCGAGTTTCCTCCAAGTGCATGTAAGATTACCAAAAATTGATTTAGAGCGGATTTGGATCCAAGCAAAATGACCAAAACTGATTCATTCAAAACAAAGTTTGAAGGAATCCAATTTGATAAATTCAATTAAAAAGCTTAAACTAGTCTCAAATTGAAATGTTCAAATTAAACGCAGAAGAAAATAAACTTTAATTGTCTCGGAAAAAAATTAGATGGCTATAATTATTAATTTTGAGAGTTAAAATTTTTTTCAAATACCCCTATATTTAAATATTCTTAACATGATCACTTTATGTCCAACAGGCAACAGCACACCCTTACCGCCAGACTCGAACAAAAGCTATGCCTGAAAATAAGAACGGAATGAAACGTTTGGGATTCAATTTCTTGTATGAATTTATTATTGAAATGTTTGGGATTCAATTTCTTGTATGAATTTATTTCATTACATTTTCGAAATCTCATCTTTTATATGCAAAATTTCAACTTGAACGTTCAAATAAAAAACAAAGCCTGTGCTTGCTTTGAAAACAAACCGATCAGGATAGGGATCATTTATATTTCTCTTGCTTCTATAATACGCTGGTATGGAGTAAGCTGTTGCATTGTTCTGGTCTTCAAAGGGATGTGGGTTAATGGTCATATGAAATTGATCGGATAAGTAATTCTTAAACTAACTAGGAATGCATGCATCTATTTCATTTGGATGGAAAGGAACAATAGGAAGGATGGGGAAAAGGCTCGTGAAGCAGAGGAACCGTTCAACTGTATGGTTGATTTTATAAGGTTTAGATTGCAGGACTTTTGGCAGGCATCAGAGTTGGAGACTTCTTGTTTCTTTATAAATTTTAGTTTACAATGTATATACTTTTTATTTGTATAATGTTGTTAGTGTTGGACAATATTCTTATAGCAGGTTCAATACCTTCTTTCTTAGATAATAAAAATATACCATTTATCAAAAAAAAAAAAAAAAACCATAGTAATTAAGTTCATCTGTGTAAACCTTGTTCTATATCCCATCGGATTCAGCAGTGCATGAGGTAGATAAAATAAAATAGATAAATGATTGCTCTAACTACCGCTATCGCTTGACATCTGTAAGGCGAAAACTCTCTGATATTCTTTCTCCTCTCCAGTCATAATCAGAAGTTGAGTAAAAATTGAAGCAAATTATTATTTGAAAGGAAAAAATTAAGGTGAAAAACAAAAGGAAATGAAAGAAACAATTTTGGAAGTACAATATTGTGAAGACTAGCAGTAGATGGAGTGATATACCGCTGGAGTCTTGGCTATATTTTGTTGAAAGATCACTGTTAATAAAAATAGTAGCAGTTGTGCCCTCCAGAAGAGGTTAGCCCCACAAAGGAAGGGTGAGGAAGTGATGGAGACAAGAAATTTGAGTTCAACTTCTAGTTACCATATGTCTATGCCAAATGTGAAGGCTTTGCTGTCCCATTGAGTTCAACTTCTAGTTACTACATGTCTATGCCAAATATCAACTTTAAGATTTCTCTTTTGACTTGTCACTTCGATTGCTTCATTGAGTGCAGGAAAATCTTGCTATACCTTCCTAACTAATTCTGTTTTTTTGCCCTTTCTGAGAATGGAAGAATATTCTACTAAGAAGGCAACCAGCTAATAGATACATCACAGGGGCTCCTGTTCTGTAATCACAATCAATTTCCTTTAAAATGACTGCAGGAACATAATAATTCACTTGGAGTGGCTTAACCCAAATGGTTAAAAACCAGATGTCTGGAATTGCCTTTTACTAATATTGAACAATAACTTCAGTTTGAGCTGAGAGGCAACTCGGTGCCAAAAAATTTTCCCTCTGGCAATTATCTCTTTGTTTGGGAAGTTTTTGTTTTCTTCGTTACAGTGCATGTGATTCCCCAACTCAATCCATTGGAACAGTATTATTTGTAATTTGCATATTTATGTTGTATTTATTTTATATTAAATAATATAAAATATGAAATTATTATATTAAATTTATATTGATATATCAAATATGAAATATATATTTTTGTTTTTATTAAATTCATATATAATTTTTGTTAAAATTTTAAATTATGGTTTTTTAATCTCTTTTTCGCATCCATATAAAATTCAATGGATATGTTGAGAGAATTTGCCGAAAAACCTAAGATTAGTATGCCACATGAAATATATTCATGGCTTTTATTTTTATCTTTTTGGTTGATGAAGAATCATTAGGAATAATTGGGGGATATCTGCATATAAGCTATCAACGGCAGTTGAGTGTGACCCATTCAAGTAAATAACATTAACTTCAAGAGTGTGAGTTCATGTTCTGCCTTCCAACCACTATATCCATCACCATTGATTATTATGAATTTTGGAGTTATCAAGCCCCAATTTGAATCTCAAACAGCAGAGCTGATACCAAACTCCCTGTAGTATCAACATAGAATATAACAGACCTTTTAACACCCTATATATCTTCTCGTAAACTGCAAAAAGGATTGAATTGCATAGTTTTTATTTTTCCCATTTCACCAAACCCCATAAATCATTTCACTAAACGCTAAATTTCAAATGGATTTATTTTACAGTGAACATCTATCATCATGATCTGGCCAAAACAAAGAGTAAAAAGTAGTAAAAGCATTCCTCGTTGTCCAAACTTGAAGAGATCAAGAGAATCAATCACCTATAATTAAGCACCACTGACCAATAGGAAAAGGGAGAGGTTTCCACGAAATCACCGGCCAGGAGCAGATTTCGCAGAGTTTGGCATTTAACCTTGGACCCTTTGCATGTTATTATTTATTACTGTTCAGTTTTTGCAAACCAAGCAGCTGCAATGCAGAGTAACCAAAGCATAGTAACCCTTCTCAACCGTCCTTCCAATGGGGTCACAGGGATAAGGCAGCGGCTTATGGCATGAACAGAAAAGACCAGGGCAGTGGGTCGTAACTCGAAAGTCCATAATAAAAACTTATACCATGTGCACTTTTATGGGTCCCAGTATTAGCTGTGGATCACAACTAATACTCATTTAAAGTTTGGGGTCTCTACCAACTGCCCACCCACTAGCCTGGAAGAACAAGAATTTGTTTTCCCCTTGTTTCCCTTCATGTTTTGAATTCATGACCGTACAGTTTTCAAGGTATAAAACAGCCCCTTCATATTGGAAATTTTTTATCTTTATTTGATTCTCCTTTTTTATATATTTTTATTACATAGAGCGCAACATAATACGAGATTACATCTCAAATCAAGATCTTTAACATTAATACCTAACAATTAACACAAACTTCATGCATCAGTTCTGTCCTTATATGCGCAGAAACTATATCCAAGTATTTTAAGGTTTTTTTTTTTATTTGAAATTTTTTTGATGTCCAAAAATTATTTTAAATTTCGATTAATAAAAAATTAAATCAGATTAAATCTTATAAGAAATAAATTTTTTTAAATCTATTTTTTAATTTACAGGACTCAAAATAAAATTTTATTTAAAAAAAATTAAACTTCTTATTACTCATATCAACAGCGAGTGGTTAAAGTTTTTCTCTCTAATTTGAGATACAATGACGATGAAATCAGACATGGAGTCCCGTCAGCAGGGACTCTTATGACCCCATTCTGGGTCACTCCCGAGCCCAAAAATGAACGCCTTTGAAAACATGATGAGAATTATCGAAGGCTATATCACTTTTTGACAGCATAACTTAAAGCCAAGAAAGAATAAAATGAATGCACTGTAAAGCTGCAAGATCTAAGTTCAAATTTTCATTGTGAGAAATTTTTTTTAAGTTTGGATTCTGTTGTCAGCAATTTTTTTATGATTAATCTATAAATTTAATGTAAATCTTCTCTAAAACCTAGAGTAACACTTATATAAAGAAAAAAAAAAAAAAAACACGCTGTAAAGCTCAATCTATGCACTGTTCTGCATTATTCACCTGCCAATCACCAATGGAAGATTCATCTTAGACCATTGCTTTAATCAGCTAATAACACTGGTTTTGCTCTTATCAGAACTCAGAAGCACTATTGTTGGTGCAACGAGAAATTGCAGCGGCTTGGTGCAAGACTGAACAATTTTATAGCTTTTGAATTTCTTGAGGGAATTCAGGAACAAGAGGAACACTTCAAACTTCAAAAAAAAAAAAACACACACACACACACATTTTGAAACTAAAGCTGCTAAAAGAAGAACAACAAACTGCAGAACTTATCAAATGAAAATTTCTAATAATATCTAATAAAAATAATGCTATAAAAATATGAATAAATATTACAAAAATAAAATCTAAACACCCCTGCCTTCAGGCTTCTTCACCTTAACCATCCAACTTTTCATACTTCTACAAACTAAATCATACTCTCCATCGCTGTACTCAGTATACATAGCTATCTCCCCCTAAACAAAATTAAAATGACAAAATCAAGATTCCATGGAAAAGAACCTGATTTTAAAAAAATAACAAAATAACAAAATAAACTAAATTAAAATTTAGTCCAAAGCATTTGGACCGGCACAAGCTTTCAACACAGGACTCCAAACCCATTGCACCAAAAATTTCCTTCCTTTGCTCCCATTCATGTTATAAGTTCTTTCTTTCTTATCCCTCATAACTTGACCGATGTATCCTCCTCCTCCACCTGTTCCGTACAACCCTTCACACATATCACCTATCTCGGTTGGCGCAGTCGGGTCCTCGCCGGCATACCATGCGTTCACCAGCGGGTTCGTCGCAAGCTCAGCCAACTCGTGGGCAATCACACTAATCATCCCATCCAAGCCGACGTCTCCGTTCGGTGGAGCCAATGCACCTGGACCACCGCCGCCCATGTAGCCTGGAACGGCGAAGGGGTAAGCGCAGACCTCGGGACATTGTTTCCCTGAGTTCCCGATCCAAGCATAGGGTAAAGTGTAACCCACCATGGATGGGAATGTGAAGTAATGGAAGCCGCAAACGGCACGGCAAAAGTCTTGAACGGTAACGTCATGGGAGGTGAGGATCAAGTAGATTCCATTCTGGTGGTCGACGGGGAAAGGAGCGGTTTTGACGGCGTTGGCAATAACTTGTTGGATAGAAAGGCGCGTGAGGTGAGAACCATGGGAGTAGCGCGAATCGGAGTGTTCTTTCGCTATGACAACCGTTCGGGAAACGTTGGCTCCGGTTTGGTCGGTGTAAAGAGAAACGGTTTTCCACCATTCAGAAACAGAAGGGGAAGGTGAAGCAGATGGTGTGGAGGAAGGGGAGATGGAGGTTAGGAAGTCTTTGATGAGGAGTTTTTGGGAAACGGACCAACGACCGTACCAGATGAGGTAGATGTTGATCGGTGAAGAGGAAAGCACCGGACCCATGTGGTAACGAAGGTCGACCAGGTTCGATGAGCCTTCAAACTTTTTGGATGAAGAAAGAGTACGTGGTGGAAGCTTAGGGTTAAAGAATTCAGCTTCTTGGGTGTTTAAAGTTTGCTCCTTTGGAGCAGCAGCTACTGAAGAAGTAGAAGAGAATGCGAGTACTAGAAAGGGAAATAATAAATGGTGAAGAGACATTCTGAGCGTTGGCCGTGGAGAAAAAATGGATCGGTTGTGGTGGTGGCGCTGAAGGTAGAGAGAAGTGGGGGATTAAGAATAGGATATGAAGAGGGGAATGGGGTTAGGGAGAGGGGAGGGGAGGGAAATGCGCTGGAGGCAGCTGCAATGTGCGAGCATACTCTTTCACTTTCTCTTTCTATCTCTAAACCTCTTTTTGTTTTTTTTTTGTTTTTAATTTTTATGGGATTAAGAATAGTATATAAAGAAGGAATGGGGTTAGAGGGAGGGTCGGGAAGGGGAGGGAAATGGGCTGGAGACAGCTGCAATGTGCAGGCATACCCTTTCACTTTCTCTTTCTATCTCTAAACCTTTTTTTTTTTTTAATTTTTATGGGACCTGAGTTTAAGTGCAGGGTTTCAAATCTTCTCCCTTTCCGGCTCCATCTTTCTTGTTTTTTTTTTTTGAAAGAATACCTAGGCTGCCTCGTCTGCCCATCTTATGACTCATTTCTAAGTTTTTCTTGCCTTGTTTTAGTTCTAAATCATTTCATTCCGTTTTGTTCAGCCAAGTAACTATTTATTGTAACTTGCAAAAGGCTTTGTGAGCTTATGAAGAAAGGTGACTTGGTGGCAAAACTCACAATCTTTTCAACTTTGACTTCAATTGTTTTTTTTTTTTTTTTTTGAGAATAAGTTGTATTTTATTTATCCAAAAAAGCAATAAATTGCTATAATACATTCACTCTATATATATACTCAAATCATATTCTAACAATTATACAATATAGTTTTATTTATATTATAATCATTATACAAATTCTTATTGATTGAGTTAATAGCAATTGAATGCAATCCATATAATTGAACCTTGACAGTTTTCTTAATCCGATCATAATACACTTGTTCTTCTGTTCTTTCTTTATTCTTAAATAATTTATAGTTCTTTTCTCTCTATATATGGTATATGAGCATTCCAAGCAATTTGTAATATTGCTGATATCTGTGCCTTGCCTTTCATCCTTGTCATTGCCCATTTCAATTCTTCAACCCACTCATCAACTTCTCTGTCAATTATATGATTGTAATACCTTTTTCCACACCATTTTTGCATATCCACAACCAAAAAACAAGTAGTCCCTTAGGCAACACCTTTCAGCCACTTCCATTCTCCATTTCCTCAACCTATCTTTTGTTGGAAACTTGTATAGTATAATTATTCATGCAATCATTGAGTGTTTTGGGATGTCATACTAAAACCATATTAGTTTATGCCACTCAACCTTCTTTTGTTTAGATCTTATCTCATTCTAAACCATTGCAACATAGTAGCCATTGTTAAGGACATGCCACATCTCAATACCATTTTCTTGTTTGATGAAGTGGTGTGCAGTAGTTTGGAGTTGAAGTGGTTTCTTCCAACTCCAACTGCTACCCTATTACGGTGCAACTTACCATATGCTTATGCGTTTCAAGACATATGCTTCAATCCAAGCTATTGATAGAGGTCATGCTTTTGAGAAAATAGCCAAATATTTCCACCATGCATGCCTTGTTCAAAGTTAGTGTGTCTTTGATACCTATATCACCTTTAGACTTAGGGTGGCATATGGTTTTCCAACTGATTTTAGCCCCTCTAGTATTCCCCTTTTGGCCTTTTCAAAAAAAACTAGAACATAGTTGATTGATCTTCTTTAACACATGTTTGGGCAATATAAAGTGTCTAAATCAATAATTCTATAAGTTGAAAAATACTAATTGGATTAGCTATCCTCTTCTAGCATAAGAAGTGCTTACTAGCCCATCCTTTAATCTTGGTTATGATCTTCTGAAGTAATGGAGCACAATCTTTTGCAATATGTCTTCTAGTTACTAATGGAACTCCTAAGTATTTGACAGGAGTGACCCTATTTTGAATCCCATGTCCTGTTGAATTGATTAGATCTCTACCCTATCTATTCCCATGGTATACATTTTACTATTTTCATAATTAAGTTACAACCTTTAAAAAAAGTAAAAAGCTTGCATATTTTCTTTAACATCAATGATTGAATCCTTACTTCCCTTTGCAAAATCAACAATCATTTGTAAAACATAAATGTGTCAGCTTGATCTTTTTACATTTAGGATGATAGGCAAACACTGCAAACTTGATAGTTTCATCTAGCATTCTTGATAGCATATTCAATACTAGAGTAAACAGATAAAAAGAGAGTGGATCCCCTTGTCTTATTACTTTAGCTCATTGAAAATAACCTATTAAAGCTTCATTAAATGATATGGAAAACATTAGGGTTGTAATACAACTATTGATCCAGCCTGTGAATTTTGAAAGCAATCTAATGGTTGCCAAAATGTTATGGATAAAATTCCAATGCAATGTATCAAAAGCCTTTTGGAAATCAATCTTTCCTACACACCTTAGGGATAATATGATATACCATACCCTTTTACCATTTTCTATGCCAAAAGCACATTATCTGTAATCTTATTCCCTTTTATAAAAGCACTTTGGATTTTGTTTATGATATTTGGCAAGATCTTTTTAAGTCTATTTGCCAAAATCCTGGTAATGCAGCTATAGATGATAGTACAACATGATATGGGCCTACAATCTCTAATCCTGCTTGGATTTGCACACTTTAGAACTAATGTAATAATGGTTAAGTTAAATGTAAAGAGTATATGCCCAATTTGAAAGAAATGCAATATAGCATTGTTACATGCTCACTACTAATGGACCATGATTGTTTAAAAAAATGAGTTGTGTATCCATCTAGACCAAGAGCTTTATCATTATTCATAAAAAAACATAATAATTTTGATCTCTTCTTTCATCATTGGCTTTATGAGTACATTTTGATCCCTAAAAGATATTGAAGCTTGGAGAAGTTCAATTAAAAATTCCTGTGAATAACCTTTAACTTTCTTGTCTGATGTAAGAATTATTTTTGGGAAGAATGATATTGCTTCCCTGGAAATTTTTGAAAAAAAATTTCCAATTTGTTCCTTTTAACATCATTAAGTACTCTTATCATGATTTTTTTCTGTATGGCTACAACCATCTTGTGAAAGAATCTTGTGTTCTGGTCTCCTTCTTGTATCCAAATTATTTTGGATTTTTGCCTATAATAACTTTACTTAGCTTCCATTAACTTCTTCAATTTTATGGATAATATAGACAGCAATTTTATTTGAAAAAATAATAAAATAAATAAAGTAAAAATAAGTGTTAATCAATCAGATGTTTTGATAAATCTAATTTATTTTTTTTATTATTAATTTTCTTTTACCTTTCTATTTTTCTTTCTTCCCCTAAAGTCATAAGTGCATTTATTACACTGCCTACCAGCTGCTCTGTCCTTGCCTAACGAAAACGCAAAATTTGACCACCAAAAGTCCACTTGTGACTTTGAAAATTTACCACAAACTTTTGAAAATTTGATATCTCAATCATAGAAAAGAGAACTTAGAGAAAAAAAAAACCTAAATAGAGAATAAAGCTCTACCAAAACAAAAAACCAAACCTTTGGTCAAAACCCAAAAAAAAAAAAAAATTCTTTGCCTACTAAAAAAACAAAAAGAAACACGAAAACAAAAAGCCACAACCCTTGGAACGGGGACCCAATGCCAAAAAAAAGCATCAACAAGAAAAAATAATAAAAACGAATTGGTTGAAACTTTTAAAGAGGATTTGGTATTTTAGTGGCCATTTTTGGTGAAGAAAAGGCTAGATCAAGGTAAAAGAGGTTAAGAGGAGCCGTTTGATGTTTTTTAGAAAAAATTTTTGTTACCGATGATGACGATTGATGACAGCACAATGATAACGATGATAATGACCGACCTTTTTGGGTAGAAGTTGAAAGAACTTTTTGGAAGTTTGTATTTTTTTTTTTTGAAATGAAAAGTTTGATTTATATACAAAAAAAAAAAAAGAAAATGACATCGTTTCAAGCCCAAGGAAAATTCATGTGTAACTTGCGACCCAAAATGGGGTCCTCGCACTCGCCCTGGCTCCAACTCTATCAATCAACTCCTAATTGGTCTGACTAAACCGTAGGTAAACCATTCTAGTCTCACCAAACCATAAGAAAAACCATTAGAAATCGAGCTGAATAGCGAAAAATTGCTAGAAAACCATCTCAGACTAGCTAAATTGTGCTTTGACCGCTAATCGGCTGTTTTTGGGGTTTTTTTTTTAGATTTTTATTTTTGTTTTTATTTATATTTTATATATTATTTGAATAATATGCATCTTTAAAATTTGAATTTCTATAACATAAGATATTTATAAAATAAAATTTTAATTAAAATTTATTTACATAACTTTACGTTAAAATTTAACAAACTTTAAGAAAATTTAAAAAATATAATAAAAGAAATAAATAAAATAAAAATAAATATTTTAAAAAATAATAACAATAAATTTTCAAATAGTTACAAATCTGCAATTGATGAAAAAAAACCTTTTAAATTCTACCAAAATAACGGTAAATTTAAAAAAATTCTAAAAATCTTTATTTTGAAACAAAAATAAATAATAAAACAAATAATAAAAAAGGATAAAACCAACAATAAAAAATCTAGAAAATTACAAATGAATAATTTTCTATAGAAGATTATTTTTGAATTTTACCGAAATTATAAAAATTTTAGACAAACAAAAAAATATAAAACAAAACAACAAAGGTCACAAAAAATAATAATAACACAAAAAAATTAAGCATGGGAATAATGAAAATCGCCTAAATCATGGAATTACAAGAAATTACGAAAAAGTGATTTTTAAAGTTCCTAAGTGTGAAAATTTATCCAAATTTTATGAAAATGTTGAAAATTTTGAAGAAAATTTTTACACCAACGATTTACATTTATTCTTAAGTAAATAATAATAATAATAATAATAATAATAATAATAATAATAATAATAATAATAATAAATGTTATAAAATTTCAATAAATCAAAATAAATAAGAATGATTGTTAACGATAATAAGATTCTAAAGAAAATTACAAACGAGTAATTTTCTAGAAAAATAATAATAAAATAAAAATATTTTGATCTAAGTTATTCCAGAATGATAAATAATTTATTATTTAAACCATTTTTAAAATAATAAAAAATCTTTATGAAATTCTAAAGATTACAAATGAGTGATCTTTAAAAGAAAATTTTAAAGAATAAGATATTTCTAAATTTTGCTA